AAATTCGTAAAGAAAGTGAATTATCAGTTATTGTCACAACTTTGCTTGTTCTCTCTTGCTTTAGAATTAAAAAAAACTTACTAATAATAATTGCAAAAGTAGTAGTTTATTAGAAGGTATCTTCAAAACGGATGTCTATGGAATAAAGCATAATCTGGAACAACGCATATACTTTTTTTAATTCGATACGTAGTTATATAAAAAAGTTATGCAGGTGCACCCTCAAGGCGCGAGCCTGGACTACGTTGTGTCGTACGTGCGCGCGCTGTTCCCCGAGGTGTCGCAGGCGGCCGCGCACCGCGTGCTGCACAAGCACGGCGACGTCTTCCTGCGCACCACCAGCGGCGTCGGCGCTAACATCGAGCACAAATGGTCCTTCATCGCATTCAATGGAAACAAATGAAGAAAAAAACACCGAAATGGACAAAACAACCTATAAAAAGAACTTTATACTGTGTGCAGTAGAGTTTAAAGTAGTTGTCGCTGCAGAAATCGATCAAAAATGAGATATATTGTAACTTATGTGAGGTTATACTAAGATTAAGATGTTCGACTTTAAAGGTAACGAAGTAATCAATATACTGATTTTTGCACAAATACTTTTGTTTTCATTACTTCTGGTCCTTCGAGTCGGATTTATGTTGACATTATTTCCGTTTATTTTTTAAAGATAATTTTGAATTAATGAGTTTTTCGCTGAGCTAACAGGTCATTGACAATTTGTTGGTATTCCGCGGAGGCTTCTTCAAGGTCTCTATCGTTGGTGGTGGGGTCACTCTCTGAGAACTGAGGCTGTCCTCCATCACGGTCTTGACGCATTTTTAATCTCATTTCCCGCATACGAGCTTCCAAAATACGCTCACGTTTGTTCTCGCGTTCTAAAATCTGATGACACAAAGTGGAAATGTATTTCAATTATAAATGAACTAAATTGTATGGAGAAATCTTGATAAATCCTTACATGTGTAAGAAGTTGCTTGTCATTTTTATCAGCGGTTCCAAGATTTTGTGACAACTCCGCTAAGTAAATAGTTCCTTTGCTACTACCACAAGCCACCAACAAACCCTGGTAGAACATATTATTATAAATAACAGAATAAATGAAAAACTAAGAAAAATAATGAACAATTCAGTACTTATCATATTATTCTTATCTAATTAAAGTAATACTTACTCCTTCGTGTGGACGCAATCGTAATAAAGGTTCGTCACAGAGTTGCGCGGTCACTATGGGCGCGCTGCGACTTCTCAACAAGTCCCAACAAGAAAGACAACCATCCCATTGCGTCACCAATAACAGTGAAAATCTGAAATTATTTACAAAAAGTTTGGAAATTAAATCAACATGATTAGTGCCTGTTGAGTTAACTTTAATATAAAATAAATTCAGTATACTGAATCAAAACCTTATAGGATTCCATGCTCCATCCGTTAGTTTAGTTTTGTGTGAATGTGTCCAAAGAATGGAGGATTCTCTGCAATCTTCGCTCCACACGCGAGCTGTCCAGTCGCCAACTGTTAGAAAGTTCTTCAAGAACGTCGGGTTCCTCTGAAGCGCGTATACTGGTCCGAAATGGGCTTCGTACTATTTAAACCAAAATAAAAAGTATGAATTGTGTTGAACTATTTTATACATTTCTGGAATACACTTACTTTGGAAGGCAATTTTTCTAACGGTGTTTTTCCTTTACGATTTGCTCCGATCACTAATCCGGTTTCAGTTCCTACCATAAATCTGTAAATTGTATATTTTAATAGTTATTTAAAAAAACACGCTCAGTTAAATATTTCTTTCTTAACCTCTCGTTTTCTCTTACCTTGTCGGTATAGTAGGCTCATATTCGAGTGCTGATATGCCTAAAGCCTTTTCCATGCTCTGGGTGTCGTTTGGCAACTTAACAATGTCGATTATCATCGAATCTGTAGGTTCGTTCATATTACGCGTATCCCACCTGAAAATTATATTAAATGTTAATAAATTATAAAAAACGTTCCATGATTGTGGAACAGAAATTTATTCTCTTGATTTTTTATATGTTTACCACTTGACAACACCATCGGGAGACGAAGAGAAGAATTCAGCGCCAGTTTTTGAATTGATGAACAAAACGTTTCTCACGAGATCTCTGTGAGCCACGTGCGGTGGACAAAGACCGACCGGGTCTCCGCCTTTACGAACATCCCACCAACCAACCTGATAACATTATCTAGTGTTATGATCTAAATCTGTGTTAATTGATCTTTAATCTGCACCCACCTGTCCATTCAGCATACCACCGACAAGCGTGTGCTGCTCACGAGGATTGAACTGCAAGTCTAATAACGGTTGAGGTGGTTTTATTGTTAACTCAGGGGCGTTTGCATTATCTGTTAAATGTGAAAAGAAAAAAAAATGAAATGCGTAACAATTCGCGTGACTGTTGGCGTTGGCTTTACTAAATTTTTGCTGCAGTTGCAGTTCCTACGCAACCGAGTAAGTGTTGTTAATGTAACGATTACCTATGTCCCATATATATGAGAACTGTAACGATCTAGTATTGGGTACATCGAGG